TATATATATATATATATATATATATATATAACATTTTAAAAAAGTAATTCGAAATAAATATTTATAAATATTTATCTAATAAATTATTAATATTGTATGCTGTCTGAATTAATACTCTTAATCTTAACAGTACTTTGCGTAAATATTTCATCACTTAGCAAAGTATTATATATTAGTATTTAAATATTGACAATGTTCTGCGTAAGTATTTTATCACTGGACGAAGTTTTGCATATCAATATTTAAGTATTGAAATCAATCATAAGGTATGATTTGTAACATTAAATATTGAAATACTTGAGTAATAAAAAAGCTGTATTTGAATCACAGAATATTACTAAATATTGTACTTTTAATACTAAAAATAAGTAATTAATCAATGATTCTTAGTATGATATTTCTATAAGGAATGTACGCGTTTATATTTAGCTTTCTATTTTTCTTTTATTTTATATCCACTAAGTAAATTGAGTGCAAACGAAAGCCTATCAATAATCTTCAATCTTCAAAACAAGAGCTGTCTCAACATTATTCATTCGTATAGTTTTGTAACTTAAGATGTCGATATCTCTTGAACAAAGCATTTGCGAGCGAACTTCCAGAGGAAATTTTTGTTTGTTTTGAGGTCCTAAATTCATATTTAAAGTTTGGCCGTTTAACCCAGGAATACCTTATATATAAGAACGATAATCACAAGACGATACAACTTTTACTATGGACTCCACTTTTATAGTAAAGTGAAGAGATATACTTTTTGATTAATGGAAATTACTGTTACAATAGTAATCCTTTCCATTTGAATATGTACAGAAAGATGAAAATGAATAAATGAAAATAGCTCAAATAACATAAAATGCCTGAGGACATACTGCGACACTAAACATCTAGGCTAGCTCTAGGATAATTCTGGAATATCTTGTGTTATTTAGAGCTAATTAATTTAGAATGGCAAGATACTTTTATGTTATTATCTTTAGTAAAAATATTTTTAATACGAAATATATAATTATAATATTTAATTAATTGATATTTCAGTGATAGCTTATAATCTCTGCGTATAATTAAATATCCATAATTGCTGGGAAATAATAATTTATATTCCAGCTATATAACATGTCAGCAATATATTAGGCGTTCCGGTTAGTTTTAAGGGATTTTGTGCAAAAAAAACATGTATATTTTAAAGAGACATTAAATTACTTTAATCAAAATATTTTTCACCGTTAGCTATAATTTTT